ATATATATATACATGTATATGTACATATAATTATATAATTGTCTCTCTATGTAAACTAACTTCTTAAACACTTTTTGCACCAGTTCACACATATTGCTGGTACCTTTATTAATTAATGAGTTAAATAAAATCTTTGAACGTTTATCTTATATTTTCATGACAGTCATTATTTTGCCTTTTTGAAAACTGTACTTTAAAATATTTGCCTTCTAACTTGTTACTCCTACTGTACTTTGTTCTTTACAAAAGGACATTACTGTCCTCCTAGTTGCCCAAGAAGAAACCTAGAAGTTGCCCGATGTTTCTTTCTTTTCCTCATTCCTCATTTCCTCCCCCAAGCACAAGACTAATTCCTAGACTTAGCCATTTTACTTCCTAAATATCTCATAATCCCACTCTTCCTCCTCTCCATTCCCAATACTCTCACCTCATTTCTGATCATCATGTTTATCCTCAGGTTTTTGAGTGAGATTCTTAAATTATTTTCCTTACTCCACTGGCTCGCTACAAAGCCCACCTCCCTTACCTCTGTCAGAAAGATATTCTAAAAGACAAATCTAATCATATCACTTCCTTTATAAATATTTCAGTGATTTCCTACCTTCTTAGACAAAGTCAAAACACTTAAAAATAACATAAAATGGTTTTTTTCATAATTTGATTTTTGTCTTTTCTATTCTCACTTTCGATCTTACTCCCACTAAGCACAAGGTGTAGATTCTGAAGATATTATGACAATCCATTCCTTTCTACCTTTGAACATGTCTTTCTGCTTAGAATATGAAAGTTCTGCTTCTCCATTTTCTACTTCCTCCAACTACCCTTTCTCTGTTCAACCTTTACTCATCTGTACAGACTCACCTTCTCCATATTCTTGCCAACATTTATATATATATATATATATTTTTTTTTTTCTTTTTAAAATAACAATGTTACCATCTGGGATGTTAATTTCTCTGTGTCCTCATGGCATTTAATGAAAAGTTATTGTTGACTTTCCTGTCGTATCCTTCAGTAAACTCTGAACTCCAAGTATCCTGTGAGCATTCCTTTTTAATCTGTGTAATGCTCCTCTTGCCAGTAAGTTTAAAAGA